GCACAGACGAAAGTCCATCTGCAAGCCAAGAAGAGAGGCCTCAAAATACACCAACCCTGCTGACACCTTGATCTCAGACTTACAGCCTCCAGAACTGTGAGAACATAAATTTCTGTTGTTTAAGCCACCCAGTCTGTGGTGTTTTGTAATGGCAGCCCAAGCAGACTAATACAAGTATGGATTCCAGGAGATGGGGATCACTAGGGGCCTTTTAGAAGGCTGTCTATCAGAGTGTGACTATTGCCACAATTCAATGGTTGAAATCAAATTGATAAAAGCTAAGTTTTTGAGAGAGTTGCACCACCGAGGGGACTACCAGCCTGGAATAAAGATACTTACAACTAACCCTCAGGCCCCCATATCTCTTCGGATGGGCAGTGGGCCGAGAGATCCTGCCATGCATCTAGGTATCAGAAAACAGGATCAAATTTTTCAAAATTCCAATTAGAAATAATTTGGACATAGAATTCCAGGATTTTCCAAATATCTAACCAAATTATCATTCAAGTGAGAGTGAAAAAAGAAGACATTTCCAAGCTTGCAAGGACCCAGAATGTATAACACTCACAACCACCCACTCCATCAAATAATTTCTAGATGACATACTCTGAACAGAAAAGTGGATCCAAGAGGAAAAGGTGGGATAAAAGAAGCAATGTTGAATCAATAGAAACAAAAATAAAACCCCATAACATACAAACAGAAAACAAAACCCAACGCTATCACCATTACCACTCATATAAATATCTGTAAAACTTGTTTATAATGCTAGAAGGAGTGTGGGAAAGGGGATGGATATCATAAAAATCTGAAACCACAGTCCCAGATGATACACAGAGGATGAGTCAGAGCAATGGAGATGGGGGAGAGAGCAGAGAGAAAGAGCCACATGGTGCTTTTTCTTCCTGCAAGGACTGAATGCAGCTCCAGAAGCCCCACATGGTTCTTTTGTTTACGCTCAGTAGGAGAAGATATGACTGGCTCTTGGCCCATAATTCCAGCAAAAGAATCATGGCATTCTCTTGGGCCTTGTTGGGTCAACTGCCCAGAGGAAATGGCCTGAGTCTCATTCTGACCCTTGGAGTCTGGGATACAGTCAACTCCACCAGAAGTACATTGGCTCTGAGTTACAGAAAACTCCACAGGTGGCCAGTTAATTGATCAAGGTCTGGAGGGAGGCATTCCCTGTAACAGCAGAGGCATCCTTTCCTCAGGACCTTTGTCTTCTGGACAAGGCAAGGGCTTCACCTCTATCCCATTTGTGTTCTGGAGAGGGAGAAGGAGAAAGATAAAGGTATATTGGGTGGTATTATTGTAGGAACAGTCAAATAAGTCAAGGAGATGAATCAGGAGATGAGGCCAGGTAGACACTGTAATTTTGCTTATGATACAGCTGGAATAAATTATCCAGCCAATGATGTTGGAACAACACATTTTCCATTTGTGAAGAAAAAAGTGAGAACCAAATATACTAGTATGATATAGGAAAATTTGTTTGAATTCTTGGTTTAATGAATGCCTACTTAAAAAAGATGAAAAAAAGCCAAATCCATAAAGGAAAATATTGACAAATTTGACAACAGCAAGATTTTTTGTGTGTGTGTGAGGAAGTTTCAGCCCTGAGCTACTATCCATGCCAATCTTCCTCTTTCTGCTGAGGAAGACTGGCCCTGGGCTAACATCTGTGCCTATCTTCCTCCACCTTATATGGGATGCCTCATCACAGCATGGCCTGACAAGCGGTGCATCGGTGCGCACCCAGAATCCGAACCCAGGCCTCCAGCAGCGGAGCGCACGCGCTTAACCACTACACCACGGGACCGGCCCCGACAACAACAAAATTTCAAAACTTTTTTATAGCAAAACACTCTTAAATTGTAAGCTAGCAATAGGCAGGTGAAAATATTTGCAGCATATGTAACAAAGGGGTGATATTTAGAATATATAAAACTTTCCTAGAAATCAATAAGAAAAAGACAAGCAACCTAATAAAAAACTGGGCAAAGGATAAGAACAAGTAATTTATAAAAGAAGAAATACATATAGCTTATAAACATATGAGAAGATGCCCATCCTCACTTATAATTAGGAAAATACAAATTAAATAATGGCAAACCACTTTGAATCCACTAAAACAGCAATATTTTGGAGCATGATAGAATCACGGTTGCTTACGTTGTAAGGCAATCATATACCGCTGTTAGTACAGCTATTTTGGAAAATAATTTGGCACTCTATGCATATCCACTAAGCGCACATCCACTGCCATCTCCCTTCAGTATTTACCCTAGAGAAGCACTTATATATGTGCATTAAGAGACATATGAGGTATGTTTATTGCAGCATTTATACAATAAGCTGCAGCTTTGGATGAGAGGAACAATTGGGAGGAATGGTCACTCCCACAGGGAGGAGAGAAATCGAGGCCATTGTCAGAGATGGGTGACCGCAACTTGATTGGAGATTTCAAGGATAGCTTTCCTAAGGATGTGACAATTGAGCCAAAGTCTGAAGGTCAAATAACCCTTAGTTAGGGGCAGAGAAGAGGGAAGAGTGCTCCAGAGAAAGAAAAGAGCATATGCGAAGGTGCTTTGCTAAGAAGGCCCGAGACAATTCTCAGTGACTGAGGGAAAGGCCCAACGTGTCTTGAGAACAGAGAGTGAGGAGGAGTGTAGTTCAAGAGGCTTAAAGGAGCCAGGTCATTCTGAGCAGCTTAGCTGTATTAAAGACTTTGGATTTTATACAAGAGCTATGGGGATCCATAGGAAGTTAGAAATAGGAGGTGGAATGGGAGAGGTGGATTTCAACAGATTGGCATTTTAAAAGATATGTAAAAGATAAAAGACATTTTGAAAGATAATTGTGTCTGGCTGCCTGTGCAGCATGGAATGGAGGGTCAGCGTAGCTGTCCATCCATGAGAACCAGCAACTTAGGAGACCGTTGGAATGACTGAGACAAAAGATGGCAGAGATTTGGTCTCTGTCCAAATCTCTGGTCTTATTATGCCTGGTCCACAGCATAATTACTTACATCACCCCTTTTTACTCTCACAAGTGTTCACGTTGGAGGCTAGATTATGCAGTCACCCCATAAATGACAGGAAAAACAAGCTGGATCTGGTGATAGAGTAGTGGTGGGGTTGAGGGAGACGAAATGTTGAAGATGATTCCCAGTTGCTGGCTTGCAGACCAGAATGGATGATGGTGCCAATCGCTGAGCCACTATGAACCGTGGGTGGGGGACAGGTCGGGGAGATGTCACAAGATCAGACAGAAGATATACAAATCTGGAGCACAGAGTAGAAATCTGGCTGGGCATAGGAATTTGTGAATGAATTATTGATGAATAGTGGGTGACAAACTAGAAGCAAGAAGGGCGTTGTCCAGAAGGAGCACAAACACTACAGAGAGGAGATGCGGAGAAAGCAGGCTGGAAATGCAAGTCAGAAGCAAATTGAATGCCATTCTAAGGAGGAGCTGCTTATTTCTGTCAAAAATTAAAGTAGAAGTCCATTGAAAGTTTTGAGTTGAAGAGTGGTGGAATATTGATCTGAGAGTTTACTAAGGAATTTGAGAGTTTTAGAAGATAATCAGAGACTCATGAAATGACTGTGAATAGATATCTTCCAATTAAAAGTATGTATAAATTAAAAAAATGTTTTAATCAAATTTTATCTTCTCATCTTACATTCTAATTTAAAAAAAAAACACTTTGTTCTCCCTTTTTGAAACCATTAATTAGCAGCATTTGACACTTGAGGGCTTTTTTCCTACCCACTCCTTTCTCCTCGAGAGTTCAGCTAGCGCAACCCTTAATTACTCCCCAGAGCTATTGTTAAAAAATCTGTAAATGGAAACATTTTAAAAGCCAAGAATCTTAAAATTTCATCCTAATCAAAGTTTGTAAGATCAGAGCTTTTACATTTTGGCATCTTATTGTATAAAGATAAAATTTAACTATTGTGAGAAAACACAATATAAGTTAGTGATCAGACTTCTATATTCGTCCATTGACACAAAAATCGCATTCACTTACAGGGTTGTGTAGATGTACCCGAGTTTGAATTATGATTCTACTACTTATTAGATTTAGAGGAATTTGTTAAATCTCCCTTATCTTCAACTACTTCATCAATAAAATAAAAATACCTACCTCATGGGGCGCCTGTGATGTTTAAATGAGACAATATCTGTATAGTGCTTAATACTTGGTAGTTAATGTATTTTATTAGCTAATATTACAATATAGTTTCTGTTTGGGATGATAAAAAATTTTGGAAATAGTGGTGATGGTTGCACAACCTTATGAAAGTTCTTAATGCCACTGAATTGTACATTTCAAATGACTGAAATAGTAACTCATGTTACATATATATTTAGCAAAACAAAAACAATGAAAATATATTAAATACAATAATTACATATTTGCAGTTTATAACCTATTATATTTAGCAATATATTTCTGAATTTCAGTTTCAGAGCTCCAATGGAAGTTTTATTCCTGCATGATGTGACAACTGGCGTTTAGTAATCCAACCCTCCCTGTGCAGTTGTCCAGGTTTAGCAGATGGGGCTGTTGAAAAGTCTGTAACCCTTGACTTGTGAGAACAGTGCCCTCTAATGACTATCATGTGTTATTGCAACCACTGCTGTATTACCAAAGAAGGCAATTGGCAGCAAGATCTGCTCTTAAAATCCCAAGTTCCTAATTTTATCAACCTCGATATTCAGAATCAAAAAGCAAAGGAGACTTTAAAAAATAATAGTGAGCTGACTAGTAAGCGAGAGTGCATATAATTCATTTTCTGTTATTTACGTGCGCCACTGCTCCTCAGGGAGCAGGGAGCATAGGAGAGGCGAAAGCGGCTGGCGGCAGGTTTTCTTCATTGCACTATTGGCAAGTCCATGAGAGAGAAAATGACTTAAATCAGGCACTCGTAAAACTTTGGTTGGTGAAGGAAGCTAAATTTACTGTGAGGATTCAGGCTATAATTTTTTTGTAGACTTTATTTTTTAGAGCAGTTTTAGGTTTCCAGCAAAATTGAGCACAAAGTACAGAGTTCCCCTATGCTCTCTGCCCCCACACAGGCACAGCCTCCCTCACTATCTACATCCCCACCAGAGTGATACATTTGTTACAATCCATGAACCTACATTAACACATCATTATCATCCAGAGTCCGTAGTTTACCTTTGTTTACTCTTGGTGTTGTACATCCTATGGGTTTGACACATGTATAATGACATGTATCCACCATTATAACATCATACAGAGTATTTTCACTGCCCTAAAATCCTCTGTGCTCTGCCTATTCATCCCTCCCTCCCCCTAACCCCTGGCAACCAATGATCTTTTTACTGTGTCCATAGTTTTGCCTTTTCCAGAATGCCATATAGTTGGAATCATACAGCATGCAACCTTTCAGATAGGCTTCACTTAGTAATATGCAATCAAGTTTCGTCCATGTCTTTTCATGGCTTGATAGCTCATTTCTTTTTAATATTGAATGGTATTCCATTGTCTGGATGTACCACAGTTTATCCGTTCACCTGCTGAAGGACATCTTGGCTGCTTCCAAGTCTTGGCATTGGTGAATAAAGCTGCTGTAAATATCCATGTGAAGGTTTTTGTATGGACATAAGTTTTCCAGGCTATAATTTTTTTTTATCTTTAGTCCTCAGTATCCAAGAACAGTAGCTGGTAAAATTTGACCCAAGCAGTACAACTGTAAATCTAGTTCCTGCTATGCCTCCTCACCAAGGCAACCATTCCAAATGTTAGCAAAGTCAATATGAAGGTTGAAAGAACCATGGCGGAAGTATTTAATCATATTACCCACAGTTTATTGTACTTGGGGACAACCAGTCTACGAGTATGCAGTAAGTACAGAATAAATGCAATCACAAACTTCCTTTTGATTGCATGAGACCTTGAAACATGCCATATTTGCTTTTAACTATAAATAGTTTAGGCTGTAATTATGGAAGAAGCAATGTGTAAATGGCTTGCACAAGCACTTTTATAAAGTTTGTGACAACTGGACCACTTGGTGGTGCCCAAGATATTCTTAATTCAGATCCTGGTGACAAGCGAGCACTGAAGACATGAGATTAGTAGATTGGTAGAACTGAAGCCCACAGATACCTGGAGAAGAGAATGCGATGTGTATTTCAATGAAATATATAATTCTTAAAAAAATCATCCTGCAATGATCACTATTAAAGGTTAGAGATTTTTTAACTACTCAAGGACTTCATGAAATCTTTTATTTCTAATTGTCCACATGTTATTGTTATCTGCCACCATGCCATGCCCTCAGCTCTACGCCACGTCAAAATATCACAAAGATCCTGCCTTTTCATCTGCCACCCATCCTGTCCCCTCCCTGGTACCCGATGAAGAATCACCTGGGCACAGAGACTAGAGACTTTGATTTCTTGATTAGAATCTTTGGTTTCTTGTGTTGTAGATGATGCTTCTCTGTTTTGTTTTGTTTTGTTTTTCCCTGGTGATTCTGAAATCGGTTTTTACAATATTGGTGGATGTGCCCTGATTTAAGAAAATCTGATATCTTTAAAAATCAAAATTTCAAAAGCAAAACAATTACGAACAGTGTATTTACATAACAAAAGTGTTGTTAAAGTTTTCATTGAACAGCTCCTTTAAAATATCAAGCTCCCCTAATACATTATTATATATAATTGGCTTTACAAAATTATATAAATTATATTTACATCCACATATAACTTTGCAGGAACACCCATAGCACACATCTAGCAAATGCCCAAACTACTAGTGTAGGGAGGGTCCAACATAGGGCCTTTTTAAATAGGGGAACTTCAACAAGATAAACAATCATTCTTTTCAGTAAAAATTAACCCTAAGTGTTATTAACCCATGACTCAAAAAAAAAAAAAAAAAAAAAGAAAGAAACAATAAATCAAAGCTTTTCAATAAAAATAACCATTATGGGAGCTGGCCGGATGGCACAGTTGTTAAGTTCGCATTCTGCTTCAGCGGTTTGGTTCAGTTCCCAGTTGCGGACCTACACACCACTCGTCGAACCATGCTGTGGTGGTGTCCCGTATACAAAATAGAGGAAGATAGGCACAGATGTTAGCTCAGGGCCAATCTTTCTCAGCAAAAAGAGGAAGATTGGCACAGATGTTAGCTTGTTGCCAATCTTCCTCACCAAAGAAAAAAACAATAATAACCATTGTGAAAATAGGTTTGTGAAGGTGTTTTTCTTTACAATTAGTGTTCATACTTGGCTCGGGTCAGATGGGGTGGCAGAGCTCAGTCAGTGTGGACAGGCCTCAGCCTGTCTATCTGCCCTCAATAGTGGGCTTCCAGGCTGGTAAACTTAAAGCAACTCAGAATTTTAATTTGATCCCCAGACAGGATTCAATTAGCTCAAAGTGTGATAACGAAGATATTAAAAGACATTCAAAGAAAAAGACATTGATATCCAGCTCAAATATAGAAGTCACATCACTACTTCGAGTTAATAATTAATTTTAATTAATTGACAACTATGAAGCTAAACAAAGATGATTTTTAATATTTATTTTTCATTGAGATATAATTGACCTATAACCTTGTATTAGTTTCAGGTGTACAACGTAATGGTTTGCTATTTGTATATATTGTGGAATGATCATCACAGTAAGTCTAATCAACATCCATCATCACACATAGTTACAAAATTTGTTTTTCTTGTGGTGAAAACTTTTAAGATTTACTCTCTTAGCAACTTTCAAATATGCTATACAGTATTATTAACTATAGGCATCATGCTGTAATTACATCTCCGTGACTTATTTATAACTGGAAGTTTGTATCTTTTGACCTCCTTCACCCATTTCTCCCACCCCCCACCCCAGGTTCTAGCAACCACCAACCTGTTCTCTGTATCTATGAGCTCTTTTGTTTTGTTTTGCTTTTATATTCCACACATAGGTGAGGCCATCAAAGATGATGTTTAAAGTTAACATTACCTGTTATCAGAGTAATATTGTTTTTTTCTCCAAGGATGGGTGATGAATGAAATTAAAGCATGAGAATAATAGGACTTTAGAGCTAGAAGGAACGAATTTTTCTACATGCAAGTTCAAAGGTTTGTCCCGTCTATTGTCTGTTTTCTACAAATCAGTTTAGGCAGAATCGTAAATCTGCTCAGTGCCAGACCAGATCTCAGAATCTGCAATTCAGTACTTTTTCCATCGTTCCACACCCACTTCAAATTGCCTAGGACAGACATTTCTTTCCATAAAGTGTTTAATCAGCTATTGTTTCAGCTGTGAGTCATATTATCTCCTTGTAGCTCTGTGCCGGGTTGCTTTGCACGCATTGTTTTCCAGCAACTGAGTGGAGACAGTTACAATTAGCTTCTGCAGTAACGAACCAAGCTAGCTGGACCTACGTGTGGATACAGAAACCATTTTATTACTGATCTGCCTTTAGATTTTTTTTAATTGAAGTATATTTGATATACAATATTATGTTAGTTTCAGGTATACAACATAGTGACTTGACATTTATATACATTATGAAATGATCGCCATGACAAGTCTAGTAACCATCTGTCACCATACAAAATTATTGCAATATTATTGACTATATTCCCTATACTGTACATTACATCTCTGTGACTTATTTATCTTATAACTGGGAGTCTGCACCTCTTAATCTCCTTCACCTATTTTGACCATCCTCCCTACTGATCTGTCTTATGATTAAGATAATGGCCTGTTTTTTTGTCTTACTTGCTAAGTGCAGCATTAATGATAATTATAATTCTAATAATTACTATGACAATTATTTTATATCTCAGTTTCTCAAGGTAAGTATAGAAGCAATAGGAGGAATATAAGTTGTAATAATAAAAGCAAGAGAATGTGCCAAGAACAGGCATTTCAAATGTAAGAAAATAGAGAGTAATCAAGAAAAGCCTGTTTTGGAAAAGCTGACAGTGGTTTTGTTAGAGGTTACAATTTGGGTTAATGTTTTCCCTGCTTTTCTTTATTTTTCAAATTTTCTACATTATGTTATGTATTTTATATAAAAACTGTACAAACATGTTTCTAAAAAGTCTACACCCTTAGAAACATATCCTCTGAGGCCGATTCACATTAAGGAAATTAACTCATGCTCAGTAGAGAGTTCCAAATATTAGCTCCTGTGTATTCTTTTTTTCTTTTTCCATTTCTTATTCATCAGCAGAAAAACTAAACCATGGTGGCTGAGAAAACTGACAAGAGAATTTCTACTGAGTGTTTTTTTCCTGTTGGAAGGAAGGTGCTCTGTGGTCCGTTATTTGTTTATATCTGAAAACTCCCTCCAGTTTGGCTCCTCTTCTCTCTGTTTCTTTCCCTTGTTTTCTTTTCTTTACTTTGTCTTTCTCCTGGTAATAGTTTATTGTCTGACACATGTGTTTGTAGATTTTATCTTTGACCATTCCCACAGTATGCTACAAGTAATGACTGACATTATAGCTGAGATTAATAAGTAAATGGAATTGGCACGTAAGAAATAATGACTCAAAAACCGAGGAGAGAGCATAAGTCCCCTTGAGGTTTTAATTCTGAGTTCTATGTGTTCCTGGCATCCATCTTCTCACCAAATCTGACTACGTGTATAATGATCTCAAGCTGGCTCAGGATCTCATCACCAGCCATAGAGCCATCAGGATCACTGAAAATGCAGCACTGTTAAGATGCAATAAAAATAAACCTTTGACAGTCTTCTGCATGCTAAATATTCTACGTTTCTGTCTTTCAAAGGTCATAGCAACTGTGATCAAGCCTGCCTCAAACACAGGTGTGTCAACCCCTTCATATTTACCTTAGGATTCAGTTCTCCCTCAGGAAGAGCAGGTTGCATATCCTGTAATGAAATTTTATCTTGTGTAAGGCACAAAAGCCCTCAATTTTCTTTCCGTTTGTTTCCTTTTCTACAGAGATATAGGCATAGAGACTCAGACAAAGGCCTGGCCTGCTGGCCAGCCTGGCCTCTAGAGCCAGCACAGCGTGTGCACAGGATGTGTGGTTCAGATTATCAGGGGGACGTTCAGCAGCTGTTTGCTTGGTTGACCAACAGTCAGCAAGACCAAGATGCCAAGACATCCCTGGCATAGTAAGAGGAAGGAATCTAAATGATGGAGACATAGAAATGCTGAAATAGATTTATCATGTTGACTTGCTGCCCCTTTGCTGCATCCCCCTGGGGATCCAGAGGTCACCTCTTCACTAAGATGTTGAGAAATGTGTCAGTGAGGGAGGCACCAACATCTTTGAAGAGCTCTGTAGTCACTACCCTCTGGAGCTGGGATTGGTGGGAGATGCTGCCCTTGAGATGTGCTCCCTGATTTCAGAGAGGATGGCACGATCCCAGGGAGGAGGCAGGATCCCAGGGAGGAGGGAAGGATCCCAGGGAGGAGGGCAAGATCCCAGGGAGGAGGCAGGATCCCAGGGAAGAGGGCAAGATCCCAGGGAGGAGGCAGGATCCCAGGGAGGAGAGTAGGACCCCAGGGAGGAGGGTAGGATCCCAGGGAGGAGGCAGGATCCCAGGGAGGAGGGTAGGATCCCAGGGAGGAGGGCAGGATCCCAGGGAGGAGGGTAGGATCCCAGGGAGGAGGCAGGATCCTAGGGAGGAGGGCAAGATCCCAGGGAGGAGGCAGGATCCCAGGGAGGAGGGTAGCATCCCAGGGAGGAGGGCAGGATCCCAGGGAGGAGTGTAGGATCCCAGGGAGGATGGCAGGATCCCAGGAAGGAGGGAGGATCCCGGGGAGGAGGGCAGCATCCCAGGGAGGAGGGTAGGATCCCAGGGAGGAGGGTAGGATCCCAGGGAGGATGGCACAATCCCAGGGAGGAGGGAGGATCCCAGGGAGGAGGGCAGGATCCCAGGGAGGAGGGTAGGATCTCGGGCAGACTGAGGCCCAGCAGCAGTATGAAACCACCAAAAGACAGGTTGGGCAGACGACTTTTATGGGTAGTTGGGACTAAGTAGCAATCAGAATGCTTTTGACCATGGGGTATTTGAGGGTGGCTAACCCGTCACAGTATCCTCAGGAATGAAATAGGTGAGCAGTCTGTGCTTGATCTATATAACAGCAACAATTCTAGGTCTTCTTACAAATCATCCCCAAGTTAGTAGGTTAAAATAATGGTTAATCGTGATCTCTCACTGTTCTGTGGGTGGTTCTTCTTTTATTGTGGTAAAATATACATAATATAAAACTTACCATTTTAGCCTTTTTTAATTATACAATTCAGTGGCATTAAGTACATTCACATTGTTGTGTAACCATCACCACCACCCATCCACAGAACTTTTTTCATCATCCCGAACAGAAACTCTGTACCCATTAAACACTAACTCCTCTTTGCTCTCTCCCTTCAGCCCCTGGCACCCACCATTCTACTTTCTGTCACTATGAATTTGCCTATTCTAGGGACCTCATGTAAGTGGAATCATACAGTATTTGTCCTTTAGTGACTGGATTATTTCCCTTAGCATAATATCCTTAAGGTTCATCCATGTTGTAGCATGTATCAGAATTTCCTTCCTTTTCAAGGCTGAATAATATTCCATTGCATGGATTTACCAGATTTTGTCTATCCATTTGTCTATCAATAGACGTTTGGGTTGTTTCCACCTTTTGGCTGTTGCACATAATTCTGCTGTATACACTGGTGTACATACAAACATCTATTGTAGTCCCTGCTTTCAATTCTTTTGGGTAATA